CTAAGAACTCATGTATCCTGTCTGTCACTAACTTCACTCAGTCCTGAGCCTAGACCTTAATTACTTCTAACACTCAGTAGACAACACCTTCCCTGTCCTTCCCACCGGAAGTCCTGCTACCTTCCTAAGCCTTAATTAGGATGGCAAAGCCAGGGAGTCAGCCTGAGCACCCGAGGGACCCGCTGACAGTGCAGCCCCAACATGCTCCCCGCTTCCCTGTGCCTGCCTCTCCAGGGATCTAAGCTTCACCCTCGCTTGGATGGGAAACTCAGGAGGCATCTCTAGCAGGCAGTTGAGAAACAAGCCCTGCAACAGAGCCAATGCATAACTTGAACTTGACCACTCCCAGCTGGGTAGCTTCACGGGAGCTCCTCCACTGTCTCCCTGTGGAATGGAGGGAGCAGTAGCCTAGGGCTGACCTGTGGAGACGCTTGCACAACCCATGTACAAGGCCCTGGGTTCTACCCTTAACAGCACCTCCATCCCCCAAAAAAAGAAGAGAGAGAGAAAGAACGGATGGCTGAGAAAGCACTAAACATCTATAACAGTCCCAGAGACAAAAGTGATCCCAAGGAAGAGGGCTTCCGCCACCTCTCGTATGTGTGTGAGACAGCCAGTGTACTCCTGGGACTACCTGGTGCTGGGCCATCTTGTACAGGGCCCAAGCAGGACATGGAACAGCTGCCAGCCTCAATGCCACCCATCCCACCTCTGACAAGGACTTAGGCATCAAGACAAGTTTGCCCATCAGGGAGGAAGGAGGCCCCAGTCCCCCACACACACAGAGGGCAGCACATCTTCCACAAACCCTCTTATCACTGTCATTTTGTTTGTTTTTGTTTTGTTTTTTGAGACAGGATTTCTTTGTGTAGCTTTGGAGCCTATCCTGGAACTAGCTCTTATAAACCAGGCTAGTCTCACAGAGATCTGCCTGCCTCTGCCTCCCAAGTCCTGGGATTAAATGCAAGTGCCACCACCGTCTGGCTTCTTGTCATTGTTAAGGGGTTGCATCCGCACCAACTTGGCTCAGAGTTTGTAGCCATCAGCATCTCCCCCATGTGAACCTTTTCCTTAACATGTTATTGACTGTTCTGTGCCTTAGTTTACCCATCTGTGACCTGGATTCACAGGATCACTGTAAAAATTCACTGTGATCACCTTAGCAGCCAGTCAGTACCATGGATAGCAAGAGCTATGACTACCATTCATTCACAGCTATGCATGCACTTCAAAGACAGCCCCTGGGGAGGTGGCTAACATACAGATCCCTGGGTTCCCCAAATATATTTTAGTCAGTCCCCCAGAACACCCCCCAGAAATCCAAGACCACCTACCCTAGCCCAGGCTGCCACAAAACCAACTACTCTCTGACAGGAAAGGGCCCTAACTGAGCAAAGTCAAGCCTGGGGCTCTCTACAGGGGGATGGATCACACATGTAGGTGTGGCATGCATATGTCCATGCACTTGAGCATATGACCCTTGTTTCCTGGAAGGTAATACATGGACATAGGGGCCTGCAGAAAGCTCACATGCTCTCTCTCTGTCAATGATCTGCTGAACCAATCTCTAACACAACATGATCTTCAAAGCCAACTGCTAAGTTTCTGGTGAGTGTTTGAATCCATCCTTTGAGATGAGCAGCTATGTTTGGTTCTGTGGGCAGACGGTAACTGTTGGAACCCACCTGACTCTGCCAATGCAGTGTCACAGAGCAACAGGTGAGCAAGAAAACCAGCTGGAAACACAGACCTGAATTTTGTGATTTTTCATGACATGAAATTTATAAAATATTCATATTACAAACTAATTTTTGACCTTTTCCAATCATCCCAAGCTGTAAAAAGCATTAGCTGTCACCCACACGGAGACAGAAAAGCTGGAGGTACCAGGCCATAGAGACAAGCCCAGGCTCTGTATTGCATCCTATCACCAAACACAGTCAGCAGGCTACAGCTGGCAGATCCAGGTCACAAATACCAGATTCTAGAACCAAATGGTTTACAAGAGAGGGAGAGAAGATCTGCTCTACTCAGCTCATCTGTAGAACAGCTTCAGCAACGGATCTGGAAGGAAGTGGGAAAGTCCAGTGCAATGGAGCACCTCGCCTTTGGCCTCCTTGTCTGATTCATTTTTGTCAGTCCTCTGACAGCATTCTGTCCGGCTACTTCTCCTTTAGGCAACTTTGATTCTCTGTCTTTACATGGGCCCTGAAGCACCTGTCCTCAGGGCTGTCTGCACATGCTACAGAGTCTTTGAGCACTGGCTCTCAGTCTACTAATGCTCCCGACCTTGTTGCCTCAGGGCCTTTGCACCTCCCTCCCCCCACTTGCACTTACTTCTGACTCTGTCCCAAGGGTAGCTCAGGCCACCCTGGTCACCGGGTGTCCCTCCCCCAATACTCTGAAGCACACACTTACTTTAATATTCTTGCCGCGCTAACCATTGCTTTATTCCTCATTTCCTCTTCCCTCCTGAACTGGAAAGGTAAACTCCATAAGGGTCCCCTTTCATCCCCAGCTCCTCTAGAACCCTGATGGGCATATACTTAAAGTTTCACTTTTGTTGTTGCTGGTTTCTTTTTTGTGGTGTTAGAGATGGAAACAGGGTCTTACACACACCAGGCAGGTGCTCTACATTGAGTCCCAAGTCCCCAGGGGACTCCGCTGTCACGGTGCTTTGGGCATAGTATATGCAGCTGAATGAAGATGGTGCTGGTGAGCATGGAAGGTGGGCTGGGGGGAATCCACTGACTGCTGAGATTCTGGGTGGAGGTTACAGCCTCTGCAGTAGCAGGCTGACCCTGGTGGACTGCCATCCCTCCTGGTACACAACAGGACCTACATACATGAGACCTTCCCTAGTTCAGGGCTAACGAGGAAGAGGGTGAGTTCCTGTTCAAAAAACACTCTTCCTACCTCCCCCGCAGTGCTGCTCAGCCCTCCAGAGCTGGCAGCTGAGTCAAGCTCTCCACCCAGAAACAAATGCCACTCAGGAGCAAGCAGAGCGGGCAACATTTCTCCACAGAAAGTGGAGCTCTAAGACTGGCCTGGTGGCACAGACCTGTCATCTCAGCTACTCAGGAAGCTAAGCAAGGAAGCTCACAAGTTCAATGCCAGCCTGAACAACCTAGCAAGGCCATGTCTTAAAGCAAACAAACAAAAAACATAAAATGGGCCATTAAGATGATGTAGTATATTAAGGCAGCTGCTACTACCCCAATGACAAGTTCAAACCCATGGGCCTACCTGGCAGAAGGACAGAGCCCACTCCCACTAGCTGACCTCTGACCTCCACATGCATGCTGCCACACATGTGTGCTCATGTACACACATACACACAAAATAAATCAATAAAATGTAAACATTTACAGTTTTTAAAAAATAAAAATGCAGGGCTGGGTGTGTGGCTCAGTGCAGAGCAATTGCCCAATTTGAGGTATGCCTTGGGTTCAATCCCCAGAAGAGAAAAACAGCAGCAGTCCTGCTTCCCAGCTGCCTATGGTCAACTCATACCCACAGCCTTCTCTCTCATACAAAACGATAAAAATGAAACACCAGCTAATTCTGAGGGCAGGCACTACTATGTTGATACTTCATGTGTGATACATTTCATGGGATCCATACACAGTAACCTAAAGTTAAAATGATTTGTCCCCCTAGATGACAGCACATGGAGGGGCCCCCAAAAGTAACATGATTCCCCCTAGAACACACAGCTAGAGAGTAACTGCTTTAGGTAAAAAGAAACTGAGTCGGTACCAACCTACCCCAATCAAATGACCCTTCTGGGCCTTTCAGTTGTGAGAATTGCTGGAAAGGAAAGCATTCAAACAGCCGATTAAACCACAGAATCAATACTATCACTTTCTGTTCAAAGTCAGCCTTTCCTTATAGGAGCTGAAGACTTTTTTTTCCTTTTCTTTTAAGCAACCTAGCTTCCTGAAAGTTAATGTTCACAATCTTAACTTTGAAGACCCTTTGACGAAAGTAAGAATGTCCCTTTGAGTGGCAGCCCACACATCTTTGCTTAATTTTCAATGGAAAATTCTTTGGTCTTCTTATTGGCTGCAGTGTACACCAGTGCCAACTGCAAATGCAAGGCAGGGCACAGCACGTAGCCAATAAGAACTGCCATGGCCTGCCTACTTCTGCAACCCCCCAAAAAGCAGTTACAAAGGTCATGGACTAACAAATGTGCTTCTCCTTGCCTTCGATGCTGCACCTGCTCCTGCCACATGCGACAGGGACCACCTTAGGACTTCTGACACTCTCGATACGACTTAGCATAATATGTGGCAGGGCAAGAGATGTGACTTAAGGAATATAAGACAGCTAGCTCTGTTGGCTTTGCTGTTGCCACAAGACTTTAATGGTTAGGAAGAAAAGTCCAATCTCCAGCCACAAGAGCCCCACACGGGCACCACTGCACGGCTGAGATAGCACCCCAGAGAACACTTTCAGATCCTCTAAATGTGTGGCCTAAGATCACTTCTCTCCAGCAGGAGCTTCAACTTATGACAACTAAATCTCCCCACGCTAAAGACAGTCTGTTGAAAGTTGGCTATCTCCACCTCCTCCCAGGTTTAAAGTAGAGGTCATTTTGCAATCAATACTAACAATTTATCGAATCTCGCTGAGAAACAGTGGACGTGTGTGTGTGTGTGTGTGTGTGTGGAGAGAGAAAGATATTAAAGGATGAGCCCTGAGAAAATTCCCAGAAGGAATTAGGAGTTACTGCAATGAAGAAGGGAATAGCAACAATTTTCCCCGTTTTATAGAAAGAAAAACAAAGGCCTGAGATTTAATAGTCGCACGTCCAACTGATGAATCTTAGGCAGGTACACTACCAAGCCGTTTCTCCTCCTCAGGAAGACCGGGACTGTCCGGGCGGCGGCGGCCGCACCCGGCTCCGAAGGCGGAGGGAGGCTATGCCCCGCCCACCTCGGCACGCCCCGCCTCTGCAGGCTGTCATTGGTCCAGCCTCCGCAGGCCCGCCTCGCCGCACCTCCCGACACATAAAAGCGCCCCCCCCCACGCCCAGCCGCCCGACCTCCACTCGCCCGCGGCCTGCGAGCACCCGCCCCTCGTGGGGGCCGGGCTGCGGGTCCGGGGGCGGGTGGTGTCGCCGGGGCCGAACCCCGGCCCCCTCCCCCACGGTCCCGACAGTCGTCGCCGCCATTTTGACCGCCCGCCCCTTCCCTCAGGACTGTACTCAAGCGACAGGCGCCGCGCGGGCCCCGCCGCCCGCCCCGGCGCGCCCAGCTTGCCAGGCGCTGCCCCGGTTACCTCGGCTTCTCCGCACTTGTGTCCGCGGAAGGCTTTGAGGAGGTGCGTGGGCGCTGTGCAGAGGGGACCGAGCGCGCCGGGGTCCCCAGGCCGGGCCGGGGGCGTGGGGGCGGGGGGCAGCCGCGGTTGTTGTTGTTGACTGGCGTTGCTGGGTTGCTTGGTCGCCACGACTACCGTGGCTATGGCGCCTCCGTTTCCCTCACCGGGGCAACTGTTGCTACCCACCCTGCTACGTCACGCGTCGGGGCGGGGCTCCAGAGCAGTGATTGGATGGCGCCGGCCGCTTCCAGCATGCTATTGGCTACGGTCCACGCTTTTCAACACCCTCTAGACTTCTCCGAGCTCCGATTCCTCCGTTCGGACGTCCGTCAGAGGAATCTGAACCCTAGAAGGCAGCGAAGCCCATCACTCGCGCGAGGAAGCTGCCCTGAGAATTACAAAGGGGTGGGAATGACGCTCTAAAATCGGCCTTCTGGTTGGACTAAGGAGATATCAATCTCGTCCAAAAGTTTGTCTCGCTCTCTTGCTCAGGTGCACGGAGCGTCGGGAGTTGTAGTTCCGGTCCTACGTGCCGATGGGAACCGCTAGACTTCCTCTTTGCTGGGCCACTTTCTAGCCTCATGCTCACATCCCCAAAGGAACGCTGAGACTCAGCTCTGCCCTTCTGTGACGTCGGCGGCGGAGGCCGGGCTCGGAGTTCGATGACGTCACAAGCGCGTTCTCCCGGTCCGAGCGAGTGGCGAGGCCTCGTCTGGTGGCTGGTGCTGGGCGAGTCGGAACCTCGGAAAGGTCACGGCCTGGCCGCGCCACTATCTCGGCCACGCAGGCGGCGAAAAGGTCTCTGGAAAACGGGGATTTAATGAGAGGACGATAAGGAAAGGTCAGCGGCAGTCTGTCCCCAGAGCTCCCTGCCGCTGCGGACCTCAGTTCCCCAAGAGATAGGTCAGCTGTAGCGGGAGGAGGTAAAACAGAAACTGCCCCGATCGGAGGGAGTTCCTTGAGCTCAGAAATTAATCATCAAGATAATATTCTAAGACGGCATTTTAAAATATCAATTAATGGGAAAAAGTAGACCCAAAGGAGCAAAATGTCAAATGTTAAATGTAATCAATTTGGTGGCACCGAGATTAGGGTGAGGTGAGTCTTGGCAGGCTCAGGGTTGGCTCTTTTGTTCAAATATTTTTGCTTATTGAATCAGGATTGTTTTCTAAATGATGTTGAAGCTGCTCTTTCCACAGGAGAACATGAGTAACTGTGAGAGATGATGACTATGTTAATTAGTTCCTTTATAGTAATCATTTTGCTATACGAATTGTGTCATATCATATTGCCCACCTCAAAAATGCAAAAATCACCAAGTCGGGTAGAGTGGCCCAGTAGACACAGCTTCCGTGCAGGCTAAGGCAGGAGGAAGATTGGTAGAGCTGAGCAAGTCTTAGTTTAGTTTACTTTTGTTTTTTGAAGCTCATGCCTGGTTTCAAAGCCCCTCTGGAGCTGAGGATGATCTTGAACTGCCTCCCCCCCCCCAGTGCTGAGATTACAGGGGTGCACCACAACACCTTAAATTTTGCTGCTTCATGCCGGTGGAGTCTGTGATGGCCAGGACTGAGAAAGGCTCAGAAATTGTAACCTTCTTTGAGGCTCTCTTTCCCATGCTTCTCCTATGTAAGGTCCTGAATTGTAAGTGTAAAACATAGAAGTCTCTTGCCTTTGTCATGTCTATAATAGCAGCCCCCAGTTAATAGTCACAAGTAAGACAGGTTCTATAGCTGTTCCAAAAATGCAAGAGGAAAAAGAAGGAAGGGGTGTGGGGGGGCTTCTGTAACCAGTATCCTCTGAGGAGAATTCCTCAAAATGAGGGGGTGTGGGACAGACACCACAAAACCTAGTAGAAGGCCAGAGCCACTCTGCAATCTAAAGCAGGAGGATCAAATGTTTGAGGCCACACTAGGCAATTTAACCAGACCAGCTGTCAAAATGAAAGAAAAAGGAGGGCTAGAGAAGATATCGAAAGAGCACCAGCTTCTCCTTGCCACCCACAAGGCAATTTGGGCTCACAACCACCTGTAACTCCAGCTTCAGGGGATCTGAGGCCCTCTTCTGGCCTCCGAGGGAACCAGACATGACACAGACATGTTGCACAGACATACAAAATACTCATGACATAAAAATAAGAATTTGAAAAAAACAAAATTGTAATTGTTTTCCCCACCCCAGACCCTCTGGTTTTTCAAGATAGGGTTTCTCTTGAGTAAACTGGATGTCCAGGAACTCACTCAGAAGACCAGGCTGGCCTCAAACTCACAGAGATCTACCTGTCTCTGCCTTCTGAGTGCTGAGATTAAAGGTGTGCACTATCACATCCAGCTTGTAATTGCTCTTAAAATGTGTGTAACAGTTTAAAAAAAAAAAAAAGCTCATCTGCCTGAAATCCACCAACCAAGAGTTTAGATGTGGCCCATCTATATAGAGCACAGTCTCCGAATATCCCTGCTGAGGGGCTGGAGAGGTGGTTTGGTGGTGGGATGCATCACTGAGGCCCTGAGTTTGTCTCTATCACCACAAAACAAGATCAGACAAAGGTACTTGTAGAGACAAAGAAGGATGCCCACATCTAGCTGATGTTCCCTGGTTGCCGGGTAATTCTGTAAAAATGCAACATCCCAGGCAAGTGAAGCATTCTCCATGGTGACAGATGAATAGTAGTGGCTCCAAGGGATAGAGTTGTTCCACCTGTATCTGAAAATGCAACCTTCAGCTGCCTATGTACCTGGTTAGACTTTCCCATGTTCCATGTGTGAGCTTCAATAAAAACTACACCATGACTACCTAGAACATGGCTCCTCTAGCCTACCTAGAAATAACAGCTCTATCCATCCCTGAGAGCCCCCCAAGAACTGAAAGACACCCAGGCCAGAAGGCACGGATGCAAACTGCAGCTGGCAAAGGAGCCTCACTCCTACCTCACTGCAGCTTCTGTGAAGACTAGGTTTGTGATTAGGGGAAGACTCCCCATTGTGTAGAGGCACCTAGAAGCTTTCTTTGCACTTCCCACTCCCTGAACCCTGAGAGAAGCAGAGCCAAGGCCAGAATATCTCCAATTGAAAGAGGAAGTTCACAGAAACTTTCTGGGGACACACCTGACTAGAACGCTGGACTGGTTCAAGCCTTTCGCCCACACAACAGTGCACCAGTTCACAGGAAGTGGAAAGGGCGGAGGTGCAAACCAGAGTGACAAAAAGCCACAGAGCTCGAGCTTGACTCAGTGGTGGAGTGTTTGCCCTGTGTTTATCTCCACTGAAAAAAAGGAAGGGTCTAGGGAGAATTCTCAATGGGTACACTGCTTGCCTTACAAATGTGAGGATCTGAGCATGACTCCCAGAGCCCACCAATACTGGGCATGATGGTGCACATCTGCAACCCCAGCACTGGACAGGTTGAGAGGAAAGTTCCTAAGGCTTGATATCCAGCCAGCCAAGACGGTGAGCTCCCTGTCAGTGAAGAGGTGTTGCCTTCTGCCCTCTGTTTGCATGTGCACACATTCCTGCACCTGTGAGCTGCTGTGTTACATCTTGGAAAGTTTTTTAAGACACAGGATGTTAAAAGAGCGGTGAAACAATATGGTGTTGTAGCCTGGCATGGTAGTGCACACCTTTAATGCCAGCACTTGAGAGGCAGAGGCAGGTGGATCTCTGAGTTCAATTCAAGGCCAACCTAATCCACATGGGGAGTTCCAGGATAGGGCTAGCTATATAGTGAGCTCCTGTGTGTAATAGGGTTCTCTGAAGGAACAATGTGGTGGTTTGAGTGTGATTGGCCCCCATAATCTCATAGGGAGTGGCGCTGTTAGGAGGTGTGGCTTTGTTGGAGGAAGTGTGTCACTACAGACAGGCTTTGAGGTTTCATACACTCAGGATACTGCCCAGTGTGGCAGTTGACTTCCTGTTGTCTGCAAACTATAGCAGTCTCAGCTCGAGCACCATCTCTGCCTGCATGCCACCATGCTCCCCACCATGATGGCAGAACCTCTGAACTGTAATAGAGCCACCACAATTATTTCCTCTATAAGAGATGCTGTGGAGCCGGGCATTGGTGGTGCACTCCCAGCACTCGGGAGGCAGAAGCAGGTGGATCTCTGTGAGTTCAAGGCAGCCTGGTCTACATAGCTAGTTCCCAGGACAGTATTCAAAGCAATACAGAGAAACGCTGTCTCAAAAAAAAAAAAAAAAAAAGAGTTGTTGTGATCATGGTATCTCTTCACAGCAATAGTAACCCTAAGACAAGCAAAATTTATAGAACGAATTGGATTTATTATGAATTGGATTTTATGAATATGAATTTATTAGAATGGCTTATAGGCTGTGGTCCAACTAGTCCAACAATGCTGTTTACCAACAAAAGGTCCAAGAATCCAGCAGTTGTCAGTCTTAGCTGGTCTTCAGTATGCACCAGTTTCCAGAAGTAGGCTCTAATGTGAGTGAAGGACTGGGCTTGCCAGCCAAAGGGAGAGCAAGGCTGCCAAACCACCTGAAGGTGAGGCCGTATTAAAGGTGATCTTTTCACCTCAAAAGATCTGGATTAAGCTGGATGGTGGTGGCAAAAGCCTTTAATCCCAACACTCGGGAGGCAGAGGCAAGCATATCTCTGTGAGTTCAAAGCCAGTCTGGTTTACAGAGCAAGTTTCAGGACAGCCAGGACTACACAAAGAAATCTTGTTTTGAAAACTGAAAAAAAAAAAAAAGCTTGGATTAAATGTGTGCATCTCAGAAGATTGGATTAAAAGTGGGTCTTCCAGGGGCTGGAGAGATGGCTCAGTGGTTAAGGTCACTGACTTCTTCCAGAGGATCCAGATTCAATTCCCAGCACCCACATGACAGCTCACAACTGTAATGCCAGTTCTAGGGGACCTGACACCCATGGCAAAACACCAGTACACCTAAAAAATAAAAACAAAAAAGGGTGTCTTCCAACCCAACTACCACTCAGACCCAGAACCAAGATTACAAGGTAGCCCACCTCAACACCCATGTCATCTAGGAACTGCTGGAGCATGTGAAGGGACAAGTCTACAAATGAAAAGCTACAGGATCTCCAAAGCAACAACAGAATATCCTGGAGAAGGCCCAGTGAAGACCCATTATCAAGGGCGTAACAAACCAGAGGCCTTGACCCAGACCAATGACTCACTGCAATGAACCCTTGCAAGTAAAGCAATATGGACTAAAGGGTGTACTGGGTGACTCACTGGGACACACCACCTTGACAAGGGTTTTTTGTTTTTAGATTTTTCAAGACAGGATTTCTATGTGTAGTTTTGTAGACCAGGCTGGCCTAGAACTCACACAGATCTGCCCAGCCCCCAAATGCTGGGATTAAAGGCATGTGCCACCAATGCCAGCTTCAACAAGATTTTTTTAAAATTTGTTTTTGTTTGGTTAGTTGGTTCTCTTTTTTTTCTGGGTTTACTTTAAAATTATATTTTGGGGGGAAATTGCAAGGGCGGAGGGTAGAAGTGAGGTGATGGGTAGATAAGTGGGATTGGGGTGCATGGTGTGAAATCCACAAAAAAAAATAACAATAAAAAGTTTTATTGATCATCCCAGCCACGTAGCATTACACACCTTTACACTAGCACTCAGGAGGCACAGGCAGGTAGGTCTCTGTGAATTTGAAGTCAGTCTGGTGACTTGTGCGTTCCAGGAGCTATGTAGAGAAATCCTGTCTTGGAAAAAAAAGTAGGTCCTCCCACTTCAAATGATTTAATTAAAATTCTTCACAGGTACCAAGAATAACCATATGTATATAAAAATATATATTATAAAATATATATAATAAATTTTTTAAAAGGAAAAAAGACACAAGTATTCTAAGGAGAAACATTCTATCTTGCTGGAAGTAACTCAAAGGCTTCAGGAAGTCCCTGAAACTGTTAAGATTCACTAGGTTCTTCCTTCCCCAACCTTACATAAGCAGTAAGGATGGCTAAGAGCTACTTTCAGACTAAAGGGGCTGGGAAGATAGCTCAGCAGTTAAGAGCATATGCTGCTCTTAGTTGGTTCCCAGCAACCACATGACAGTTTACAAGCACCTGTGACTCCCAAGGGTTCTGATGTTCTCTTCCGACTTCCATGATTTCCTGCAACCCACATGGTGTATACACATACACAAATTTGTTCAAGACCATCAGCTGGGTGTGGTGGCTCACACCTTTAATCCCAGCACCTGGGATTCAGAGGCAGGAGGATTTCTGAGTTCCAGGCCAGCCTGGTCTTACACAGTGAGCTCTAGGACAACCAGGGATACACAGA